TAGGGAAAATAAACTTTCTACTGAAGTTGCTGCTATACAAGTCCACAGGAACTTGAGTGTTGTCTGTTACTTTATCAGGGAAAACTCTTAGCTTTTAATTTCTTCTTATTATTATTGTTAGCACTAGACTATGTAGTTACCAGTTTTTAGCCAAATTGGGTAAATAAAACCATTAGAAACAAGTAGCATCTCTTTTGTCATAAAGGTAAACATGATGTATACAGTTAGAATAAACTAGGGGTGACCAACTTGCGGCATGGATGCATCAAGTGGCATAGACAGTCTGTGCATGGCACACAGCAGATTGGGGAGTGGAGAGGCAAGAGAGTGTTAGATAGGGCAGGGAGCAGAAAGTAGAGCTTCAGATCAGTCAAGGAGCACAGGACAGGAAGCAGAAAGCAGAGCAACAGCTTGTCAGATAGCAGAGAGCAAAAAGCAGAGCAGCAGATCAGGCAGGAGAAAGGCAAGGAGCACTTGGGGAGAGCGTGGGGCTACTTTGTGGCATGCCTACCAAAAGTGTTGACCACCACTGGAATAAACTTTGTACAACAGTAATTTAAACTCTTTTCTAACTGATATATTTTAAGGCTTGGTGGCCTCAAAAGTTTTTGCTCATTTTTAAGCCAGTTGGAAAAAACCCCAGTAATTTTTAACCACTTTTTAAATATAGTGGATTCCTCTTATTGGAATCACTTTGGGGAATGGTGATTTGATTATATTAACCAGGTGATTTCATTAAAAGGAAACACTTTTTTAAAGAACATGCAGATACTCACTCCTCCCCCACAGCCCCGACCCTGCTCGTGCCTCACTCCCCTCCTCCTCAGCCCCCACAGCCCTGCCGGGGCCCCTCACTCCCCACCCACAACCCCCTGCCCCCCAGCCCTGCTGGAGGGGGGCCCAGCTGCCAGGGCTATGGGGCCAAGGACCTGGGTCTGCAACCCCTTTCCCCCAGCAGGAGGCGGTGACTGCTGCAGCAGAATGAAGCCCAGCTCCCCTCCTATTGCTGCCAGCTGTGGGCTTGGTCACAGTGCGCACTCCTGGAGGGGCAGGTGGGGACCTGCACCCCCCAGGGCTGTGCGGGGTGGGAGTGGGGGCAGGCACAGGCAGTGAGGGCAGCAGCATGGGGTTGTGCTCCTCAAAGCTACCACGCATGCAGGAGGCACATCACCAGAGAGTCCAGCTCCTGGCCCCCGCCCCACAAATGTGCCGTCCATCCACTGTCCCCCTCCCCGCTTGTGCCCCAGCCCTGCCCAACTCCCTCCCTACGTGGGCTCAATTCCTTTCCCCCCTCCCCCCTAATCTGCGGGAGCTGCTTTCCAGGCTGCTTGGGGCCATGTACATGTACATGGCGCCCCCTGCCTGACCACCCTCCTCCTGCTCTCCCCCAGGCCCTGTAGGCTGGAACTCTGCCAGCCTGCAGAGGGCTCCTCACCAAACTGCAAAATCCCTGGGCTTCTCCAGTAAAATGATTCCAAAAACCAAAAATTGTCATTCTAATTTGAGTGATTTTTACATGTAATAATATACCAAAAGGTTTTGGTTTTCTCATATTGATTCAAATAAGCAGCTGATTCTATTAACTAGCAATTCTATAAAGCAGAACCCACTGTAAAAGCAAAAGGAATTCAGAAATAAAGACTAGATTTACAAGGGGAATTGGCTGCTATTTACAAACCAGAGGAGACAGAGTGGTGGTAATGCCTGCCCCTAAGCACTCACACAGAAGAACTTAGGTCTCCTGACAGTCGGCAAAAATAAGTGTCCGCACAATTGAGTTAGGAATTCTGGGATGAATTTCTTTTAGTCCTTCCTGCAGGAGCTCTTTCACTTTTTATAAAACAATGAAATCCTCACTGGAATTGAGACTGGAACCCTAGCTTCACTCCACTCAGGTGGGTGTCCTGACCATTGTGCTACAAAGCCTCTCCCTGCCCACTTTCCATATATTTCATAGAGTAATTTATTAAACAAATTTAGATAGCCATGCTGTCCACCCCATCACTGATCCCCATGCCACTAAGTAGCATAATTTGAGAAGCTGTTGTCCCTCTGACTTGCTCTTTACAACATGGGACTCCACCTTAGATATACTAGAAAAAAAATCTTCGTTTGCCAAATGTTGTAAGTCTTGAAGGAAATACTGTCTTTACGTAAGGCCAAATACAGTTCCTCCTGTGTAGCTT